GTCTACTAAGCGAGTGCGAGCGAGACAAAGCATTGGAAAGAACGCGAGAAAGAGAAATGCCCAAACGTGCTTGAATGTTCACCGCATGCGCACAAAGCAGCTGGAGAGAGAGGCTACTATATTGTCTGCATCGTAACATTTGGACTTCAGGTCGGCACCGTACTAGCAATATAGAAGTATTATATATATGGCAACAAATGATGTAAAGATACAAAAGAATTTCGATCGCCAATGTGCTTGGTGGTGCACATTGGAACTACGGACAGTGATGAAAGATCGAGCCGGCTAGCACCGAGAGCACCGAGGTAGTGGGAGCCACTGGGAACACGCACACAAGCGAGACCGCCGTCCGTGTGCGTGACGTCATGCACACGGACGGCGGTCTCGCTTGTGTGCGTGTTCCCAGTGGCTCCCACTACCTCGGTGCTCTCGGTGCTAGCCGGCTCGATCTTTCATCACTGACTACGGAGCCACGAATCTTGCTAATCGATTATGTATCAGATGGTTATAATTTCACAATGACTATGAAAACAACATACCTTCGTGCCAGCATTGTATTGCTTGAACCTGCTCCTCCGGTAGCCTGCGAGCTTCTTTCTTCCGCGTGAACAAGTTCCGCATCTGGAACAACAAATACGAGAAGTCAAATTAACAGAGAATTTACACTATAAGAAAATTTATTACTTTTACATAATTATTATTTACACGTTATATTTCGTTATCGTGCAGTGTAAATATATATACAATTTTTATAAATAATTTTAAGTTATTTAATAATATTATTTTATATCAATAGATAATAACTCAAGAAGATGTATCTACTTGATTGCACTTCTGCTTCGCAAATCACTCAATTTGTTCGATTGACCGTAACAATTCGCCGATTATCATTTGCGATACGAATTACGCGCACGAATGCGTAACACTCGTCACCTCGCGACACACAAACTACTGACATTCGCGCGAGATAATAATAATAATAAACACGAGAAATAATTCGAAACAATTCGAACACACTTCTCCGTGTTGCGCGCCGGCCATTTTACGTCTCGCGGAAAGGCGAACGCCGCCAAACAATTTCACCGTTAAATCGTCGTTTGTTATCAATTCCGCTAAATGTGCGATACTAATTACGTATCACTGCAAACGCCCGACACATATGTATTACTGATATTTGCGCGAGATGACAATAATCGCGAAGAAACGGGACAATTTTGAACCAAGTTCTGCTCCGCGTCGCGCGTCCGCCACGATTACCCGCTGAATTCTCAGTATATCGAAGGGCGCGCGAGAATCGAAGTATCGAATCGACGCGCGCAACACAGCGCGCCTTCGACTATCGTATATAAACTATAGATTGACAGGTAAATTCTCATTTTTTTTCATCTTCACGCTTCGCGCGTCGAGTAACGAAAGTTTACATCTCCGTCATCTAAGTAGCGGAAAAATGAAACATAAAAGTGAGACAGCAATAGTACGTAATAAAAAAAAAAAAAAAAAAAAGAAAGAGACGGAATAAATCGACGCAAATTGACTAATCGCTCCGGGAGTGATTCAATCCGTAATACCAAAATACGCTATCTCGTGCGAACTCCGGATTGCTAAAATCGGAACACGCTTCACTTGCGATTGGTTGACCTTTCATCGTATTTTTCTTCCGTTTTGTTTCGGAATCGTGTGTGCAATGACCGCACCCAAAAAAGCACCCGAAAACAGGTGGCTAAATGTGACCAATGCGATTGGACATTGTGAACCGGCTCTAACGCTCGCGTCCCGTTGCAAGTCTACCCATATAATATGAAGGTGGGAGGTCTGTAGTGATCTCTGTAGTCGCGCTACTTTATATACGTACATGTATGTACTATATGACAGTGGCTGCGTCACTTGGTTTGAGTTGATTTGGTTGATTCGCTCATCGGGAGTGTTGTGTCATATTGCTCGCGTCGAGTAGTGCGTGTGCGTTCGCTTCTCTTCTTCCTTCATGTTTCGGCCATATCACCGCTTGCTCTGGTTTGCTCGGCAAAGACCGGTTTGCGAGTGAAACTCGTAAGTGACGAGTAAGCAAAGAGAGCAGAAAACTCGGCCTCGGAAAACGGCGGCTACGACGCCGAATTCTCTCATCGCGCTCGGTGGTACTCCCTCACGCTCAATAATGAGGGACATGGCAGGTAAGATCGCCGAGTTGAAGTTCGAGGCACCCCTCGCACGCTTCGAGGAAGAAGACACCGCCAGTCTGAAGAACATGAACCTGCTGACAGGTGCGTAAACACCGCCTTGTTATTCGCTCCGCTGACTGTTTAGAGAACTGCTGCAATCTATATTCCGCACATCGCGTTCAGAGAGAGGGGGAGGGGGTTTTTATATATAATGTATATATATATATATTTAACGCGCCCTTTTGTTGGACGTTTAAACAATTTTATATGTTGTTTCATATCTTTTTAGCTTCTCTCGTGACTTTTTAACACATAATTACCTCCTTTATCTCTTTTGAACTTTGTTTTAGTTTTATATGACTATAGGCATCTCTGTCTCTCCAGCCATCCGCAAGATAATATTTAACGCATATCTAATTGATTTTTTTTTTTATACAGATCCTTTTACATACACGATCTTCCTCCGCCTCCTACTTCCGTAACACATCCCGCCAACACTTTATACTGCTTGTGTCCGGACTTTTGTATGTGACGCCTTTCTATAAAAATCGAGTTTTATCCTTAAATTTTAATTGAAAACATTACAATCATGTTGTAATGTTGCAATTTTATTACTGAGAATTAAAACTCGTTCTAATTAATAAACATGGTCTCTAAAAAGTCTCTGCGTGTTGCAAATTACACAACTAAATTAAAATTATAAAATGAATGATAAAAGTTATGAAGCAAAATATATTATGTATATTTTTTTTGTATTTAACTTTGCTACGAGTATTATTCAAACTTTCCTACTTACGTTCTTGTATATAGTAAAGTAGAAAAGCAAATAAGTCGTATTTATTTAAGTCGGTCGTGAGATCTTTGCACATGATGAATGCATATGTTCGTCATTCGTTTGCGAATTCGCGCGGACGTTCTGACGTAATGTGTAAAATAGATATTGTTTCGCGAATTGCGTATTTAATGCTACATACAAGATGGTGCAAGAAAAAGAAATAAAATGTTTTAAAAAATAAGTAGAATTTTATATCGCACGGGAGAGAAAAGAATGCAAAGAGCGATATTACATTCGATGACGCTCGATATTTTGACAGTCGTCGCGACCTCGACTCATCCCTATTTCGTCGATATTGAAGTAGCACGCAAGGACCAAATTTAGAATATTGTATTCCGAAGAAACGATTTTTTTATTACATATCTCTCAATAGTTCTTAATATTTTGGGCTGTTATAGTCCGTGTTTTTATTCTGTCAATTACAGAATAAACACAAACAAATTATCTCTTTGTTAACTGTATCCCATTATATACATAACTCTTGTTTTATAATTTCTCTATATATATCACATTACGCAATAGCTTTCTCCTCTTCTATCGTAATTGTCGGATAAAATTTACTCCGATACATAATTATTTAATTTTGAGTTTTCAAGATTTATACTGCAAAATATTTTCTACATTTTTCGTGCCTATTAACATTATACGCGTTGAATAAAATTAATTATACCCCCGTGTGTTCTCCAAGGGGTTTATATATTTATACATCTTCTTTCGCAGAACAATTGTTAGACGTCAGCTTGGACGCGAATTTCGGCGAGAACTGCAACGCAAATGAACCGCCAACGACTCACGAAAATGGCACTGATATTCTTCAAGAAGGAACATTTAGCCCCTTTAGCGGCAGCCTTGAGGACCTTGTTAATACTTTCGATGAGAAAATCACATCGTGCTTTCGCGATTACGGCACTGACGTCGAATCACTGGCTCCGGTGCAGGTGCGAACGCAGGAAGAGATCATGAACGAATGCCAGTGAGTTTTATTTCTCAATATGTGTGTATATCTTCGGGATTTGCTTAAATTTGTTTGTAACACATTTAAATATCGATAATATTTTTAAGTGTTTTTTAATGTTGTATCTGTTACACTTTATTGTTTAAAGCTATTGCTCTCATTTACTTCGTTGTAGCAATTATTTCAATCGACCTAAATTAAACTTATTAACCTTACTCATAAGCAGCAAAATTTCTTGCACGCTCTATACATGGTTTTACCACTGTGTGAAGATACTTGCTTGACGATTGATAATATAAACCGTACATACATATTGAAATTAATAATGTTTACGTTTTGTAAACTGATTCTCTCACGCAAGAACACGGTCGTTTGAGATTAGTAATTGTCGTTAGGGAAGTAATCACTTATCCTATTACCGCTCCTTGTTGTTAATATGCGTAATATACAGGGTGCCTCAAAAAATAACACATGTACGAAGAATTTGTATGAAACGTGTCTCTGGAGACTACTACTTGAAGAAGATTCCAAGAATGTAGTGACAATGATGGTGAACAAATGGAGACTCTGAAGACAAAATACATTTATGTTACCATGATATTTGTGTGTTTTCTCAATTTTTTTTTTTTTTTTTTTTAAATTGCTTTTATATAAATGTTAACATTCTTTTGAGGCATCCTGTACAATATACGCAATAACGAAGAGAAACGAAGAGAACGAAGTGTTCCGTCGGAGTAGTATGCTCCACTACCATGACTATCTTGCATTTTAATTAAGTGCTCTTTGCCGACAATCTTCTTGCTTTTCTTTTTTCTCTTTTTGTCTCTCTCTCTCTTCTCCTCTTCTTCCTTTTCATTCTTCTTTCCTCTTGTACCACACGCTCGAGAGTGAAATCCGTCACTCGTTATGTGTCATCTCAATGACAGACTTACATGGCAGATTCCTGAGATTATTTGCAGACAAAAATTCCACTTATTAATCTCTACTTTAAATATTAATAAATTTCTGTTCCAAAGTATTTTAAGAATTTTTTATTAAACACGTTTTCTGCAGTAAAAATTTGCACTTGTATGTGACTTAGAGTAATTTTGTTTTAATATAATTTATTTACTTTTTTTTTAATAAAAATATTTTTTTGCAACAGTTATCATTTTTTAAGAATTATCAAAACGCTATTCTTTCAAAAACTTTTATTGTCTTTGTTACTGAATAAAAAAGAATTGATTTATGTGAAGGAATTATAACGCAGAGAAAACAGAAGTTCTTCTTGATCTTCTGATTCGAAGATCAATTGATTTTTCAAGCAAGAAGTGTGTCAGCACTGTTCATATTCTCTATGTTTACGACATGGTTTGCAACTTTCTCTGCGAAATAGCTACAGTCGTTCTCTCCTCCACGCTGCAAGAGAGAACGACTGTGCATCTTAATTGTGTAACGCTCTCTGTCTCTTTCTTTCTCTTTCTCATGTATTAACATACATTTTCCCTAGTTTAATTATCGGCATACGACGAGATATATCGTTTCAGTATCACTTTGTATTCAGAAGTGTATTAACGATCAGATTTTAAACTACACGATACTTCACATAATAACGGATAAAGATTTACGTTGTACAAAAATTTTGTGCATGATTATAATTTTACTTTGTGCTCGTTAACTGGAGCCATCGAACAATTAATTGTTCGATGTCGGGCGAGGATGATCTCTAATGATGGCGCGCGTTTTCTACTCCGATATAATACTAAAATAAGGTCATCGACTCGCGATAAAATTGTGAGAATGCACACATTTGTTTACATTTTACAGTATTGCAGTGCGATTCGACGTGGTTATTCTACATGTGGAATATTACAACCTCGTTTTCTAGCATTATATTAAGCGTAGCATCTCGGAATGGCTATCGAGCGTTGCTCGAAACATCTCGTTATCTCTATCTTTCGACTTACATATGACTCTATTATCTCGTTCTCGAAAACAAACGGCCTGTACTTAGCAACCAAATTTTTAAGTTAATTCGGAATTTAAAAAAAAAAAAACGAATGAGATTATTAAAAAGCATACTTAGTTTGATAAATTTTCTAATTGTTTGCAAAAATTCTCTCCTTTGGTCTTTATGTTTGATCTAAATCGATTCTTCATGACTACTATTTTGATAATAGTATGATTGTATGTGATATGCGACATAAAAATTTATACTGTTTTGTTCTATCGTTTCGTATCGAGCTATTACCATCCCCTTTCTCCTAATACAAGGTGAACATCAATATCGGCGCGCACGCGCCTTAGATAGGACAGCTACCTACGATGTTTCTCAGAAGTGGATTTTCATGGAAATTAATGACAATAATTTGTCGTACTGCATTCTTAACCTATGTATGATTGTTAAAGATCCCTGAGTGGCTTTGTATTAAAAAAAACTCGTATCTCTAAACGTATTATCTCTGAATGATTATTATTTAATTTTGTGGAAAATCGAATCCTATATTGAAATGATTTCGTGAAAAAACTTTGTTGTCACAATAGACTTACAATTGAGAAACTTAATTATTTCGATCGGAACAATTACATAATAGCTATCGGGACAGCTGTTATGTAACTTTTCGAGATTAAATTTTAGATCGGAATAATATTGCTTTTTTTGTCGTTTTTCTTTTCTTTTTTAAAGAAGATAAAAAGAAAAAAACAATTGAAGTCGAAATCACATAGTGGATCGATTCTGAAAAGTTACAATAATAGTAGAATTATAGGAAATTTTGACGTGTGCTTTCTCGCTTTTAATCTTGTTGTTTAAAATAACTAGCGAATAGAAAGCCTGACTTCTTCGAAGCTTAAATAAACTTTAATTATAATTCTAAAGCTTTTTTAAACTATAATAAGCTTGATTTTCTTTATCTTATGTTGTAATTTTGTAACATTGAATTATTTCACTTTCTTTATTATTTAAAAAGTGACTCATTGAAGCTTTATTGTTAAATCTTCGCGCACCTATAGTGCAAAACATCTGATATACATCTAATGCGAATAATAAGTGAAAATAGAGAATCACTTTACATCACCACAACTTAAACATTGAAACCTAAGTGGACTGAATTGACTTCAATTTATTAATTGAAAACATCAATTGGATGATGATTAAGTGTAGATCCTTCTGATGTTTGTATTGCGGTCGGTTTTCAACGCGCGCGCCTACGTGCGTGCGTGCGTACGTACCTACACGGATCAAAAATGAAAAGAAGAGCAAGATTAAACTATTTTTATTGAGCAACGAGAATATATATATATATATATATATATATATATATATCCTATACACACGCACATTTATATATTTATGTATATAAAGACTTTATTGATAGATTAAAATTATTATATTTTCTAGATAACATAAATAAAGTTAAATTTTTGAATTTTCTTAAAGGATGTGGTGGACGATCACTGGAACGTTCGGAAATATACTACCAATCGATTGGAGTAAATCCTACGCGAGGAAAATGCACATGCCCGCTTTGAATCTGAACGAAGCACCCGCTTCAACGGGAAGGTAGCTGATATTCAAATTTTGCGCGCACACGTTTAATTATTTTCACAAAAAAAACAGTTGCTTTTCTCTTTTAGCGATGGCGCAGTTTTTAAAAATCTCAAAATTATTGTTTTACTTTTGTTTCTTTAAATATTGTTTCTTTTGTTTCTTAATAGTTTTTTAGTACATTTGTATATTCAAATTGCTTCCGTTTTTGTTCGCCATAGACCTGAACTAGAGGATTTAAGTAGCGAAGACGAGGCGGTTGCGACAGATTTGGATATGCATGCTTTGATCTTATCCAGCAGTACCGACACTCATAGTCCCGAAGAGCCACTGAAGACTGCCGAGGAAGTTCTTCGCGAGATAGACGATATAATGCAAGTAAGTTTTGGCGTAAAGATCTAACAATTACGTACAAATAATGATGAGACTAATTGTTAAATTGTTTTAATCCTCGATTGATTGTGTGCCAAATACAATCAGTCTCATTATTTAGTTATTTTATATTTCTTAATGCATCTCTTGTGTTAAACAAGCAGAGCTTTGCATTTTATTATTATTAAAGGAAAGTCCGTCATTGGAAAGATCGCCGGATTCAGACGGTTCTATGTTGGATAGTGATGAGGCATTAGAAAGAAGTAGAGAAGTACTTGGATCACCACTTCACGAAAAGAGTATGTTTTAAAATATTTTTAAAACATCACATATGTATATATATTTGCATAAATCTTATATATCATGTAATACGGAACTTTGTATACCCACGTAAAGTGTTGTGGAATTTTTCAGAGTTAAAGCAACTTTCATCTAGCCAACTAACTGAGCTTTTTGGAGAGATGGAGTCCTTGGTCGCTGCCTTGAGCGAAACGCTGATTGCCGAGCTAGCGCTTAGGGACGAATTAGAATACGAGAAAGAATTAAAAAATCAGTTTATCTCTCTGCTGTTAGCTGTGCAAAATCGACGCAGACAACATCATGTCACAAAGAAGAGAAATCAAATACAGAACGGAACTAGTCCATTGCCACAGCATAGGTCTTTGCAGGAGCCAAAGGTAATGCACACCAATGTATCAAGTTACGTATTTGTATACATGTATGTTTCACGAAGTATTGATTATATGCAATAAATATACCGAGATTTCCAGCGGAAAATAAGCTTTGAATCGAAGAATAATTTCTATAATACAAGAAGAGAGAGGGGAAAGTTTTTTTTTGTAAAAAAATGATTATCTAAAATAAGGATTTTCAGTTATTTAATCATAACTAAAAGACAGAATAAGATGAATAATTTTTATTACAGTACTTGACGACTGTCATTCCATATCATACAGACAGTGGTCCGCCAGACAATCAAGCTTTACAAGTACTTATCAAAAGTAAGTAATGAAAATTAATGTCTCTTTATGTGTATCTCAATATATGTATTTTATTAATACATTAATTTTTAGTACTAAAAGCTATCAGCGAAGATAGTCCGACTGTGCCCACTTTGTTAACAGATTATATACTCAAAGGTAATTAAATTTAATTAAGGTTTTAGGACCTAAATCTTATGAGAATCATATAATAATTTGATATAAAATATTGTTAAATATGTAAAATATTGTAAAATAATTGAATAATTTATTACTAGTTTTTATTAGCTTTTAAGAGAAATGAATTGTACAAAGTTGCTACTTTAATTTCAGTGTTGTGTCCGACTTAAGGAGAAAACAAAAGCCGAAACGAGTCTCAGCAGAAAATATGTGCTCTCTTCTTCTTGCCAGTACGCTTTCAGCCGTCGTTGTGCTCATGGTATAAATATAGAAGATAATTTCATCGCATATGATCAACGTCAATACTAACTAGATTCTTGTCATATTTGTTTGGCGATAGTGTGTGAACGTTATGAATCATAAAAGATAATGAATATGCTTCTTGTATGTACTATAACTTTATATGTGTACAAAACGAGAGGCAATGTTGCACTTTGATTCTGATTGCGATTCGCACGTGTCAAAATGTTATGATACTGCGGGCAATGTCTGCGGCACTGGCGACAAGTACAAAAAGTTTGCGCCAAACATATTCAAATAAGAGCAAGTACATGATAGAAAAATAAAAGAACTTTCTAATTTCATATTATATATATATGCTGGCGATAAGACCGAGAATCAGAAGCTAGAATTCCTACAGATTGATGAAGAACTAGGTGTCAAATCCAAACTCGAAAAACAAACATTTAAACGCTAGTCGTTGTGTCAAAAATGGCAAGCATTTCATTGGTTGCTTACTGCGCACATCCGAAAAATGAAACTACCTTCTATGCTTATACCATGGTTGTGCTGCATGTTATTACGTTAAGATGAATAGATTATAAACGGTTGGGAAGTAACAAGTTACTTGTAACGCTGTTACTGTTATAGTTATTTCTTTTTTCAGTAACTTTAACGAGTTACTTTTCAAAATTTGTAACGAGTAACAGTAACGAGTTACTTTTATAAAAAAGTAACTTTCTTAACCTCCTGCTTATAAAGTTGTATTTCAGTCACAATTACTGTATTGAAGCTGTAGAAGTATATAAGGTCTCTGATATTCTATATCTAGTCTTATACATTACGATGTGTATAATTACTTGCTTAAGATATTATAAGTATGGTTTTAATAACTCGCATGTGACTTTTGTGTATTACTGACTTGCATAAATTCATCATACTTACGATTTTCATATATTTATATTGTATCATGATTCATATCACTTCAGTTTTGTATTTCGTTTTCTTGTACATAAGAATCTCACTACATAAGAAAGCTTTGTTACGCAGATTCATTGCAAAGGCAGCACAAAGCTTCAAATCTAGGACTTTGAAAAACTGCTTATAGAGATTTAACGGTTTCTATTCAAGAAATTCAAATGAGTGTATATTGCTGAAAAAAAAACGCTAATAATTTAGAAATATTTCACACACCGATATAGCACGAGTTAAAAAACGAGAATATTTGTAGTGTTAGTTAAAGATCACTTGCTCTATCGTAACGATAACGTAAATTGTCCTCACGCGCAAAAGCTCGAGAATTTGTTAAAATTAAAAATAAAATGAACTATCCTGTATTAATGTCTGTAATCGTTATTCAGAAATTTATTAACTGCTCCATTTACTAACGTCCTTATAACTTAATCCTTCCATTACGAAATTTTATTAATGTATACTCGCATAAAATAATACACACAGTTGCACAATAAATGAGTGACTCTCTGTTTCTAGATATTATATACATCTTGATATATTAGGAAAGGTATTTACCATAGAATGTTATTTTCAAATACAATTCTAATTTTATACACAATTTTAAGGTCAATTGTTTTAGCCTTTGTAATATTGCAGACCACATTGTGGAGCCAAACAGCTAGGTTGATAGCAACAATCGTGTCCTCGAGAGAACCATTTAGACGTCTACAAGTAAACTAAGTATAATTATAAGATAATTATGAAAGCTGGTGTCACTACGCGCAATTTTCGTAATTCATAGAAATTCATTAGAAATATGTCCGAAAATTTGTTGTTTGCCAGCAAATCTTCCACAATGTTTGTGATTCGTAGCAGTGCTTTGGCAATATATATATATATATATATATATATACAGGGTGTCCCAGAATTACCGTACAATCGCTCGTAGGCAGGTAGAAGGAGTAAAACTGAGTCGAAAAGTCCTGAACCATTTTTTTTCTATTATTTATAATAAAGGAGTAATTATTGAGTAAATCTGGCCAATCAGCGTAGACCTTTAGCCAGACGCACGTCATTGAGCCGCGCGCCTAGTGTGTGTGAGCGCTCACTGACGTGCGTCTAGCTAAAGGTCGGCGCTGATTGGTCTGATTTACTCAATAATTACTCCTTTATTATAAATAATAGAAAAAAATGGTTCAGGACTTTTTGACTCAGTTTTATTCCTTCTACCTGCCTACGAGAGATTGTACGGCAATTCTGGGACACCCTGTATATATATATATATAATTACAAATCTTGGCCTATAGCGCAACACACACACACACACACACACACACACACGAATGGATCGATTCGTTATCAATTCAATTCATAATTTTTCGAATTTTGTCAAAAAACCGTTTGGCTAGCAAAACGACGAATTGTATCTACACGCTTATTTACAAATTTCATACGAATCGTGAATTGCAAAAATACACGCGTAGTCTGACACTAGCTTAAGAAGAATATATCTCTTCGAACATAATAAAAAAATTTTTATGTGTTTTATAATATAAGTTTTATATGTCTATTATAGTTTATTCTATACACATGTTATATTTTATGGTTATCCGACTTTCTTACTTTCTGTACGCGCGCGCGTGTGTGTGTAATAAAAAAATCTTAGTTTGAAATGAACTAATTTTTTATGGGGAGGGAAAGAAATATATCAACATTGTACTATGCGCAAACAAATTTTAACCTGGCTTGTTAATAAGAATATTCTTTTTGTTGAATTGAGATTAGATTATTCTAATTTTAATAAAATAAAATCATTCAGAGAAATGTATACGTACGCCCTGTAGAACATAACTACGACCAGGTATAACGTGCACTAACTCCGATCCTACACTATTTTTATCGGAGACTTTCATAATCGTTGCTGTCGAGCTGTACGTAATCAGAGGCCTTTTTACAGGAAACATCCACACCGGCTTACATTCATCAGAACTAGGTTTAACGTACCACGCGTCTGGATCGTATCTCCGATCGTATATGACGTTCATCGTCGATTTCTTGTCGCGTCTGGAAAATTAGTTAACATATTCTTCTTATTTCTCGTGAATATCGATAAATTTGCATTTTGTAAACCTTTTAACTGTGACACTTTAATGTCGCGTGGTTTTTATTATTTATTCGAATATTCTTAAAAGAAACCTACAGAAATATAGCTTTGTTAGCTTTGTATATTTAGCAAATTTTGCTAAAAATCACAATGTTGATATATGATACAATGTCAAATATTACAATAAACAAATTGCTTGTTTTTAAACAAAACGCATGTAAAGAACTCTTACAAAGAATCTATTTCTGCGGAGAGACACTTTAAACGTTGCAACTCATGGCCGGCGTTGCACACTCTATTAGAGAAACCCCAGTTTCCAAGGGCTTCCGCTACGCCTGTGCCGTTGCCTCTTGAAAACTCATATACACATGGCATAGTTATATCTGCCATTTTTTTCGTCTGAATACTTATAAATTTTGCGCAAAATATTTGCGAGAGACTATTGATTCACATGAGAAAAAATTGATTTTTTTTGACAATTTTGCTGTGAAGTTTGTCTATACACGATTCAAGTTTCTTCCAAAACAAATTATAAAAACGAACAAAAAAGTTTGTGATGTTTTTATATATGTTAGAGCTAATGATGCTCAAAGAAGCACACAGTACCTGGATATCGAAATACAATTTGATTCTCTTTTGTAAAATATTTTTCTTTTGAAAAACAGTTGTAGGAATTTTTTTGTGTACGTACGATACGAAAAATTTTCAGACACATATAAATAGCACATCGCAATTCTTATTCAATAAATGTATCTTTATTTTAATCTAAGTAATAACATGATACAGAAAGTGTCTGTATACGTGTATAGATTTGTACGTACACATACACACGCACGCTCACACACAAGCAGCAGACATACGTATACACATACACAATACGCGCAAGTATATATTAAATATATATATATTAAATACATATATATATTAAATATATATTATATATACATATATAGTACACACATGTACTATATAGTATATATATATGTACACACACATAATAAATTTATATCTATAAATGATACCTAATAGTAAAATAGTTCATCTTTTGTTGAAGTGATTCAATTTTTATAACTTATATATCTAAAATATCGTGCGTCTGACGTAGAATGTTACATCAGAAGTAGGACTCGGAGAAAGAACCGCCCGCTTTTCTTGCTTGCACATGTGGGTAGAATCGATTCTACGATTCATTAGAGACATATGTCATAAACATGTGTGGAATATATTTCAATTGTTTAATTTTTGAGTGAAGAATACGCAAAAAACGTGAATATTTTATATTTTTCTTTAGTGACACACACACACACACACACACACACACACACACACACACGCGCGCGCGCGCACGCACGCACGCACGCACGCACGCACGCACACGCACACGCACACATACACACGCACGCGCGCGCGCACACACACACACAAAATAACACAACATGCGTGAGTTGTATTTGCTATGACACAAACACTCTCAAACAATGCAAAATATCCGTGGGATATATGTATCTATATACCCGTATGATGCGAGTATCTGTAGAACTGATTCTACCAGCTTGTACGTAACAAGTAAATCAATTTAGGCGGGTGGATCCGAGTACCTCAATATTCCAAGCTTAGTGATATAATGTTTGTTGGACATGTATGTTCTTCATCATTATTCACACATTATCACTCCCACTTTCTAACACAGATTGGATCACGAATAACCAATAGTATTTGCACTGAAATTATAATAGAATAAATTAGAATGGATTGATAAAAATATATGTCAAACTAAAAAGATAAATATAAAATATAAATTTAATTTTATTTGTTATTAGTCTTTAAAATTTGCTTTTTGCATAAAAAATCTTAATATTTAATATTAAATATTATAAATGTGTAGGACATTAACAGATTGAAATAAATAAATTAAGAGAGCAATATTTTGAGAAAAAACGCAAATAATTTTTCCTTCATGTGACGTATTCATACAAAAAACGCTTACCATTATTTATTGAGTTTTTCCATCAATGTAAGCTTTTATAGCAGCTTGGCATTCTGCCGAACACCAATGTTGAATCAGTAAATATGTTTCTGATTCAAGCGCAGCATCTAATTTCTTTCGAAGAGTATGACGTAGTAGAGCCTTTGTTGCTTCCATAGACTAAAAATAAAGATTTTTTAAGTAAATATACGAGATGAGAAAAAATCGTAAATATACATATATAATAAATATTTTTGGAAAATATGTAGTTTCTTTACTTAAATGTGTACTATATTTCGTGTGTGTTTTTTTGTACGTTTATGATATTTGTTTTATTTATTAAAGTATGTGCAACATATGCAGCAAAAAAGTAGATTTTCTTCTTTCCAATGCTTTAATTTACTATGTTTCATTATATTTGCAGCTTGTGCAAACAAAGAGTACAGAACGTGTGCAAAGTAATGTCATGAATATTAAGATGTTTCGTAATTTTTCGAGTCATGTAGGAGTACATCGAGAATGAATAATGGCATTATCGCCATTTTATACCAACATGAATCTCTTGTGACGGTAAAATCTTGTGCAGTTGAGTAGGATCATTCAGCGCGAATCATTACAAACATGTTTGTTTTGCAAATTTGTTGTTTTCTTTCCATGATAAGGACAAATGTCGGAGTATATACGGCTATCAGCAGTAAGACTAACAATGTTACCTTCAAGTACATGAGGGGAGTTCGTATACGAAATTGTAAATACTTGATAACTTTTATAAATATATGACGGATTTTCGTTAAATTTATTGAAATAGATTACAGGGGAGAGTGATTTGCATTATTGTGAATCGCACGAGGTATGTAACGTGATTCACGATCGGTTTTGGATGTCCAGCCTGACGGAAAGACTTTGTCACTGTCCCAATGGAATGGAATGTCCGTGGCAATGGACGAAAATCTATGATAATTTAACTGTACCACTCAATAACAGATCTGTTTTAAAGGTACTCAAAATATTGAGATTCGAAGAAATTTTAACTGTTTTTAATTTCTCGAGTAGCTTAGTTCTTTTAAAGAATTTACTTAATTGAAATGCGTCATTAAAATTCAATTTTACTAATGCATATGTTCCAGATATGGAGAGACAATTAAATCAATTATGAAATAAATAATTAAAACAATTAATACATGTATATTAATGATTATAACTCAATATTATTTACAAATATATATATCTAACTTTTATTTCCGTAGTTTTGCATATATATATATATATCTAGCATTTATTTCTGTAGTTTTGCACGCAAATATCGGGATTGGAGAGTTGCGCACAAAAGCAAGAGGCAGTGATAGTGCACGGAGAAGGTGATACAAGCAATAATTATATAGTACCGTATAACGTGACAGTAAATTGCTTGTGTCCGCAAACGCATTACTGGAAGTTGCAGAAATACACATACTATCAACAAAATCTCGTTCAAGTATTCAGATGTGTCAAGGTATGCTCTGTATCTTAATATGATTTTGTATATATTATTATAATACGCGGTGAGAATAAAATTGCTTCTCTATTGAAAACAATAGAATTAAAAAGATTTAAAAAATATGTAATTACATTTAAGACCATTGTTATATCACTTTTTAAGATTATTAGTTATTTACTAAATACGCATTTTTTAATACAGAAAAGAATGTGTAAAAGTTTGGAATTCTGTGGCTACATACGATCTGACTTATATTCGACGTATTATAGATGCACATGCCCAGAGAAGCATTTGTGTGTTTTCAAGAACAAAACACAAGTAAACGTACAGGAATTGCTTTATTCTGGGCCTGCTTATATGGCGTATTGTTATCGATTTTAAAGAGAAAAACATAATAAATTACTTACCTAAGAAAGAATGATGTAAATATTAACAAAAATCACAGAAAAGAAAAATATATGTGTATATATAAATAAAACTATTGTGTAAAAATTTACTAAATAACGAAAAATTGGAAAGATCTCATCTCCTAATCCGGTCTCCTTTCTCTTCTTTTCTTTCATCCTTATTAAAATTGAAGTTAATACACATAAACAATGTTCATAAAATTTACCTGCGACGATTGATCGCTCATAGCTCGCAGCGATGGTAACAAATCCTCTTGAAACCGATCAGGCCATAAAACTCGAGTAACAAGACCAGCTCTTAACGCTTCATTTGCCGTTAAAGTTCTTCCAGCCAAGAGAAGTTCGCTTGTCTATCACATAATAAAACGTATAAATGTAACGTGTTATTTTTTCCTGTCTTATGTTTAAAAAAACTCCTTATAAAGACATACAATTGCACTGCCCAATATATGTGAGAGGGTGAAGATTGCAGCTCCTTCAGCGATTTGTCCCAACTTTCCATAAGGAGTACAAAACGTTGCTTTATCGCTAGCAATTACAAGATCGAAAAGAGGTAACATCGTCACTCCTAGTCCGATTGCGGCTCCTTGCACACCAGCCACTATCGGCTTATTAAAAGTAGCTAAACTTTTAATAAACTCCCTAAAAAATTACAAGGATTGGTAAATTCGTTTGCACAATCACACATTTTTCTACGTTAATTGGAATAAGATAAAAAAATGAAAACTAGAGAAATCGTGAACGCGCTAATTTATTACACAAGTTTTCTATAATTTTTTAAAGATGTTGCTAATTTTTTTCTCAAATTTTAATTAAATATTTCAAGCTAATTTACGAAATGTACATACTTGACAGCATGTGCCAACTTCTGAGCAACGGATCGTCGTTCTTCCTTATTTGCATGGAGCAATGTTGAGAGATCAAGACCTTCGCAGAAACTTGTACCCGTAGAAGTTAACAGGACTACTCTGCATTCATCATCTCTTTTTAATATCGACAAAGCTTCTCTGAACTCTTGCATTACCTAAATCACATAAGCATGATATGTGTTTAGCAGTTTATATATTATATGCATATAGCGCAGGAATATATTACAGAATTACTTACTTGCAGTGTCAGAGCGTTTCTTACTTTTGTCAAAGAAGATGGTGTAAGTATTAATTGTACGAGATTACCGTGTCGACGAACATGTATTTCTTTATTGCTGAATTGACTTTGTGTTTCTTTTGTTTTGTTAAAATCTGAGTTTGTTGTTTTTACAATATTGGCAGTTACTGGAATACAAATATATATTTATATTACTCTGTACTCATTATATACACACATACATATATACATATGGATTAATCAATTGAAAAATATATTTCTTTAAAATCTCTTTCATAGATAAAATTCAATTTTATTTCGCGTTAAAAATCTTACCTTTGTTCTTTTTCATAGTTGCAACATTTCCGGATCGACCGTTGGAACTGACAACCGAAAGAGCAGAAACCGCCTCAGCAAGACAGACAGCTAATTCAGTCTCCTCTTTAGAGGGATCTTCAACGTTATTAATATCATCTGTTTTGGCAATAGCTTTATTCTTTATGACCCTTTTATTTTTTCCTGATACTTTCCCCATCATTCCACCGTTCGACGATCTGGTCGTCACTTTACTCGAAACATTGTCTTCAAGTGTTGACACCGCTTGTTTGCCAATCTTTTCAACTTTTTTTATTTCCGATTTCTTAGGACGTGCAACAACTTTTTCCTCTGTATTGTTAGCACTGACATTACTACTACTAGTAGCGACAATACTATTACTAGTAACAATATCAGTATCAGACTTTCTCTTTTTACTTCTCTTTATTATAGTTTTCTCGTCTTGTCTTTTTTTAGCAGATCTCAAAGCGTGAATTGCTCTGTCGTCCGACTTGCCGGCCTCTGTTAATTTATCCGGCGTGTCGATGCTAACTCGAGGACTTCCCGACGCGCTCGAAAACGAGCTCGATGAATGCCTTCTTACAATAACGGACGCATCAGCTGCGTTCCTGATCTTTGCTGGAATATATTCCATAGGTGAGACAATAGCGTTCGGAGTTTTCGGCGATGCCATCTGCTCCGCCTGTAGCTTCTTGTCCGCTTGAGTTGCATCAAGATGGACTGCCGTTCGCTTCGATCTCGGCGATGCTTTCGTGACACCTGCGATTGTCGACGTGCGCAATCGTAGCACGGCATTGCGAACGAGCTTTTTTCTAATTTTAAGTTCGCGTTGCACCTTCTGCAAGTCCATCACTTTCGCGCGTGACTTGGTGATGGGTATTAGACGTTTCTTGTCTGGCTGCTCCACGTCGTATAACAAATTGACGACTCCCTCATCTTGCAGCAATCTATCAATCTCGTTTATGCTCTTCTTCTTGGGCTTTGCCTCGCCCTCGGTCGTTCGCTTTTGCGATTTTGGAACAGTCTTCGGAGAATGCTTCGATGACTGAACCAGTTTGGTCTTTAATTGAACGGGCTTTTTGGTAGTCGAAATTTTCTGGCGCAGTAATTTCTTGACTACCATTTTTCTTTTGGTGATCGATCCTTTTCTTGAAAGATTCTGTTTAGCTCGTCTCATCTTCAAGATCGAGTCTACCTCATGTTCCAACTTGTTATTAGTGACGGTTGATGTATCGTCATTTACAACGTCAACTTTTTTCTCACTTGTCGCTATGTGATTCTCAGTTAAGCTGTTGTCTGAAGTAGCATTATTTTCCTGCTTCTTGTTCATCGATAGTTTGCCTCTGTATACTTTTTGCCGCTTTATTATCGTGTTTTGCTCGTGTTCTCTCGCTTTTTCTGTAGGTTTGCGCTTTCTGCCTGATCTCGACTCTTCTACTCGTCCCGTCTGTTCAGTTTCCCGATTTCTCTCAATCTTTTCTTCAGTCGGAGAACATAAATCAATCTCAGATTTTGTATTCGCTTGTGTGTTTTCATTTGTAACACTTACATCGGCAACTTTTTTCTGCTCTTGAATAGCGACCGGACTTTTTGTCGCGGTATCTCTTGATTCCTTGTTTGGTGATGGCTGGAAAATTTTCTTTTTTTTCGATGAATTTTTCTTGGACGGCGTTACGGGTAGCTCAAGTAGCTGCTTCAGTGCCAATTCTCGTTCCACTAATGGGTCAAGTTTTGGTGGACCAAGCGGATCAGAACATTCTTCAGTAGACACAGTTTTGCTTTCTTCTGTGAGAGTTGGAGGTTTCAAATTAGACCAGTCAGGATCAACGTCGCCCTCCAGGATAGCCAACAACTCCTTGTTATCGGAATTACCATCTTTGCTTTCCACTGTCATGTTTTCTGCTGTCTTTTTGTTCTCAGAATTATCTGCCTGTACAGATGCAGACGAGGGAGAAATAGAAGAGGTAAGTGGTATGAGACCTGGCACGGCACACACCTGATTCTCTGTCAACTTAGTCGATACGGCACATAACTGAGTTCCTGCCAATTTGCTGGACAGTCTCTGCGCCAGTTTTTTTACAAAAAAAATATCTGGCTTGCGTTCTGTATCTACGTTTTTCTGCTTTTCACGAAGCCTTTCCTTCAATACCTCTGTCACCTCCGCTGGCGACGCTATCTGACTAGTCAAATGCCGAGAACGGTTTTTAGGCATTGTCACATTAAGCGAAGATTTCGTAGCTGCTGCTAGGGAATTTTTTTCATTTTTGTTCAACGAACGTCTCGCGTCATCATCAATTACTTTATTATTCTTTTGATTTTCCGTTTTGTCAGTCATTGCACTTGTCTCAGTTGGGTTTGTTACATTATGTGCTTCATCCGCAGCGTGTTCCCGATCGGTGGAAGAAATCTTTTTCTGAGGAGTCGTAACCGAGTTATTCGTTTTCGTGTCATCTAACAAATTTTCTAATTGAAGCTCTAAGGAATCTTGTATTTTCGACGGTAATGGCGTTTCGTCATCCGCATTCTCATCGCGCCAGTCATCAAAGATATCTTGAATAACACTTCTTTTCTCTGCTGACGAGTTACTTGTTTTGTGAGATGTTGTAGATTCTTTATTATGCTCAGACGACTGTTTAACAGTATCTTCAACTTGCAAAGAATCTGTCTTGTGTATCAAATTAATGTTTTTCTTATTTATAATCTCTTCTTCTGTGATAACATCGATATCGTCATCTTTTTTACTATCAGAACTAATCAAAGTTTTACTATCAAGTGCTTTTGCTTTAAGATTTTCATTAGTTATATTTGTTTCAAGAACAATTTCTTTTATTTCTACAACTTCAGTATCACATTTATTTCCCGCACAATCTTTGTTATCTTGCTCACATTGTTCCGAAACAGTTACTTCTATTATAGTATCGCAACTCTCTTGACTGCAATCAATTACTTCGATTTCGTCGACGTCAGTTTTTGTAATTTTTCTTTCCTGCACGGTAACTACAGTATCTTCAGCATATTCTTTATCTTTTTCATCTAGTGTGACAATGTAATTGTCTGTTGTAGTGTCTGTAGAATCTGGAATAGTTTCCAAAACTACAACCATTTCCGTCTCTTCTTGTACTAGTTTGGTCAGTTCAGCATCCGTAACTACGGAGCTGTTTTGATTACTGTCATTATGAATTTCTTTAACTTCTTCTCCAACTGAGTCATCTATCTGGCCCCCAGAATGTTTGATAAATCTAGACTCCTCTAGCAAATTCTGTTTTTCTACAGCATTAGATTGATCCATATCTTCTATTATGTTACAGTTGCTTTCTAAAACATTGGCTTCATTTATTTCTACTACTTTAGATTTGGTTATCACACTTGGGCTTTGGTCTTCCTCAGCAGTTAAATTTTGTGATTCATAATTTGACTGTACAATATCATCTTTTATTTGTTCACAGACTTCAGTCTCATCTCTACCTGGGGTACAACGTTCTACTTCTGGTTTAGATACTACTTGATTATCGCCATCAAGTTTTTCAGCAAGTACATCACATTTTGATGTAACCTCTATTTTAATACAATCATTGTCCACTGCAAATGCAGATTCTTCTGCACCTAGCTTACATACATTTGACAAATCTTTTTCTTCTTCAACAGCATTAACTTTCATATCTTGAATTGTGATTTGTGTCTTTTGTACATCAACATTCTTAGATTTTCCTTCATCTTCACAACTATGCACTTGTGAGATATCTACTTGTTCCATGATAATATATACCAAGATTGTCCAAGTTTATTATTAAATCACACAGCTACCTGTGTTGCACAAAAATCATTTTATTATAAACTTGTAAGATTTGTTATTGCAAGTGTTATTGTGTTGTACTAACAACTATGGCATAACCTAATAAATATACGTCGTATTTGCGCAAATATGTTGAAGTATCTCATATAATTTTGTTTTAAGTATAAAAATAACAATTTTAATGAGAATAATACATTCCCTTGAACATTGAATCGAATATAAGAATTGAATATGAAAACACATCAATGTGAGAGCAATTTATATAATTTCTAGTCAATGAAAATCTCGAAATGTGGTAGCGAATGATAGTACGCTACGATTGATAGTACGAGCAAAATCGTCGAAATTTTGTCTTTTTCTCAAGAACAAGCGATTATTGTACAGCAATGAATCGATGAAAACGCTTGATAATTCTATCAATTACTTGAATATTTTCAACGTGTAAAATTTATGTAGCTTAATGGCCGTGTGTGTACAGCGAGCTCTTACCGTGTAACAGAGATGTGCACATACTTGTTGAAATTCGATGAAAATTCACATGATTTATCAGTTTCGACAACAATCACTTAATCATGTAATTACTGCGTTATCAGTCAAATCTTTATCCAGTTAACCACCAATCAATCTCGTGCAAAAAAAACAAATTTTTTCCATAAAGTCAAACACCATGTTTACAAGAACGAAATCGGAGCCGCGCACTACGAATGTCAACTTAGGTACTGTTTCTAGAATAATGTCTCTATACATGCACTTGGTGATAATACATATATCGTCAAAATATCTTTCGGCACCTTGCACGTGAAAAAAAAAACAACATACGAATAATATATGTATACATATATATGTGGACATAAAATTTTCCGTATGTACATATATATTATAATATATTCGCAATATATTATTAACTTTACAAATAATACAACATGTAGCTTTCTCTATTATAATGCTATTATTATTAAGTTCACTTGCGGCTCACGGAAAATTTTAACAGAATTGCGTCGTGAGATCACAATTGCTTAAATTTTCTTTTAACAAGTTTTCGAAGAGCACCAAACTAGCGACACGATTCGTTTATTGGATCTACGAAAAGAATAATAAATATCTCACATATGCCGTGTATCAGAACCGTACGCTATTTCTATGGGTCAACCGGCTGATTATTCTGTTGGAATAAACCAATCACGGTCGACGTCTGATCGTTCAATTACTTAAGCTCGTATTACACTACAGGGTTAAGTTACCAACTCCCGTTGAGATTACGATTACAGTCGCAGATCGACCAATCGGATCGAAGCAGCTTGCTCACTTATTGGTCAATCAGCAATTATCATCTTAATCCCACAACCGAGCTTGCAACCTGTAATGCAATACAAGCTTGAGACTTGAGTGGTGATCATAGACTTATATCAGAGGCTGCTTTCCTTTTAGACGACACAAATGAACACAAATTGACACAGATTAACACATTTGAGTACAGTGTGTCACAGTTAAATGGAACGCGATCTGCACTATGTGAATAACAATTTTAACTTAACCTACAAACTTTATTGTCAAAAGTTAATACGATTTATAGTGATAATACAGCAT